CTGGCCGTGCGCACGGTGACGCTCCCAGGGGCAACATCTGGCGGAGCCTGCAGCGTCTGGATGACGCGGGAGGGTTGGCTGAGCGGGCTGGGGCCCACCACGTTCACCTGCCGCATCCGGAACCTGGAGCGGAGGAAAGACGAAGCGCGTGCTGTAACAGCTCAGCGAATGGCACCTCTCTTTCCAGAGCAGGAGAGAGATGGAAAAATACAATTTAGGTCTTTCTAAACGTTCCACAAAGGTCGTCGCGTGCAGGTCCCCTTTGCATTCACTGCTGAATGCTTGATGGTAACTGCTTTCAGATCCTCTCAGGTATCAAAAAAATGAAAATGAGATTAGCTTAGGGTCTATTAGAAACTTAGGTATTTTTGTAAGAAATTTATGTTAATTATACCAAGGCTTGATGAGCTTATGCAAGCAGTAAGTGATTTTCTCTTGCGATGCTTGTACAATACATTCAGAAAGGTATTAAAATATCAAACTTCAGATATTCGCATTCCCTGTCAATATAAAAAATATACTAGAGATAACATTTCCCCTCAATTACTGGTTGAAAGAAGCTGATTTATCCCTGTGCTGCATTTTCAGCCTTCCTGCACAAGAAAGATTGGGTTATTTAATATGGATATGCGTCTTTAAAAAAATACGCTGTCTGCTTGAAACCATCTCTTCTACAATAGAAATCTCTATTGGGTCATGAAAGATTTAGCAAAATCTTTTTTCAGGAAGCACAAAATAATTAAGACGTGCTGTACATTTCAGATACTCTCACCTGTCACAAGCAATTAGAGGTATCCAGCGCTTGCACATAAACACAAGACCTGTTCATACTAAACACTTAATTTTTGGACCTAATGACTGAGCTTGGGAAGAGGGTGAGCTAGACAACATAGCAATGTTTATTTATCTTGCTGTGATCTCCCTAGAAAACGCATTAAAGGAAACACATTAAACAAATGCTGTCCTTGATTTCACTCTCAAACATTGGCACAAAATAAAGAAAAGAAGCTGGTTGATCAAGATGCGGTCTGGTAATTAGCTCTCATGATGTATTTCCTCAGTGGGCAATGACTAAAGCTGACCAGAGTACAACAAATTCCTTTCTAGGAATTGAAAACTTTCTAGGTTTCAAAACATGATACAAAATTGCTCTACATTGAAACAAAACCCAAAAAAAGCTCCTATCTGTGCATGTATGAGAGAAAAAAGACTAGGCAAAATGCAAGGAGCTGCTTTACAATGAAAAAAAGTCAGAGGAGACTTGGAAGTGTGAAAGATCCCAGCGTAACAGGGATCACTCCAGAATTCAATGGATACAAGAGAGAAATGAGATGTAGCAGTAAAATAACCCCAAAAGTTTAACAATAAAAAACCCACGAAAACCCACCACCCCAAATTGCTCATATAACTCCTCATTATTTTTTATCTCAAAGACATTTCTCCATACACCTGTCAGGTGTGCATGTCTGTCTTACTTTGCATGGACACTGAAAGCTGAACTCTGGTATGACCTGCACTTCACTGTTCACCTCTGCTTTTTCAGCTTTGAGGATCCACTTTTATAAGGAGAAAAAAAATCTCCTCAATCTGAAGATACTCTTCCTAAGCTTCTGCACCAGGAATCTCTGCTCAAGTTCAAAAATTTTCAAAGAGCTTTTAGTAAAACGTTCAGCTCTTGAGGATGAGGTGTACAACACAGTAAAGAGTTTGTGAGAAATTCAGTATCTTCCTAGGCTTCTGACTAAGGGAAGAAAATTAGTGTACTAGCACTGAATTACTTGTAAATTACATGAACCTTACTCAGTTGCACTTACTACTAGCTTACAACACCACCTGGGCTAGCTAACAGGCCCTTCAGCCAGCCCCAAATGGACAAATTCCTAGCAAACTGATTTAAACACTTGCCACTATATCTCCTTGCAACCAGCCTTTACATTAGCGAGCTATCTCGTGAAAGCATTTTTCATCAGGATCGAGTACCTCAAATTCTCAAATCTTGTCTATACTAAAGCAACGCATCACTTGAACTGAATTGATTTAAAAATCAATCTCATTTAACTGGGGTGCTCCCATAATGTAGATTCACTTCCATCAGTTTAAGCATTACATATATCTATTCAGCTTAACTTGGTAAATTCTTATAAACAAAGGTTGCATCTAACTGATGTTACCAAATTAAGGTAAATCAATAAAACGATGTTTGAACTGATGTAAATATGTAATTACAAGTTTGCTCCAGTTTAACTACAATTGATTTGTCACTGACTGATGTTACACTGGTGCACCCTCTACATGTGGGAAGTCACGGGATAGCAGTTACTCATAAAAGGATTTCACTGTGCACTTGGATTTCCTTTTTAATGTTATTTGTATTGTATGTAAATTACAATTAACAATATCACATGAGTAATTTTAAGTATAAACTATGAAAATGGTGAACCTTTTCTCTTTTGTTCAGATTATAAAACACAGCCAGCTGCTTCTGATTAGGAAAGCTGTTTCGTGCTGCAATTTACTTATTTTTTTCATGCTGCAGCTAATTACCTGCTGTTCTTACCTGTAATGAGTGTAAGGAGTAAGGTTTGGTACCTCCAGCATCTGAGCATCAGGTTCATTCTCCACCTCACGAAGACTCACCCACTCTTCTTCATCACCTAGTACACCAACCTGTACACAGGAAATGTAAGAAGGAATACAAAGTAGGCAAAGAATTATACAAATAACCTCTTTTGCAATGCGTGTCATCACAACAGTGAAAGGACAAGTACTTTTAAACACATATTATCCAGTTAATATTCATTTTTATATGACAAGGCAGTAGTTACTTGTGAAGTGACGACACAGCCAAGTTACTCAAGTTTCCTGAGACCTGTTAGGACTTTACTGGGATGCTCTGACAAGACCTATTCCAAAAAAACCACTGTAAGAGCACTAATACTCTGTTCAATCTCGCTGCCACAATACAAAAGTATCAAGCAGTAATATAACAAAATGAAAAATAGCCTTGATAATAACTTGCAGGAACCAATGCATACTAAGTAAGCCTCAGCGGAGGCAAAATGCCACAGAAATGAAGACAGAGAAACAAGAACAAAGTCAAAGAACAGAAGTGTTTTAACCTCATCTGCTGGTCTGCACTTAGACCAGGCTTTTCCACGTGCAATCCTCTGTATTAATTAATCACAACAATTGGTCAACATAGTCCCTCAGCTACGGCAGTGTTAAAAGGGACAAAACGGTGATGAGAACTGAGAGCATTACTTTCCAAATAGCTCTCTGGAGATAAAATGAAGATGAATCAGGACTTAAAAGGAAGTCAACAAGGCATGATAGAAAGGCCAGAGGCTGACCTGGGACCCTGGAAGACGGTAGCATCAGTAGGCAGAGCCACGTGGGTAAAAGCCACAGTAGGAGTGTGCAGAAGGAGACAGAAGAGAGGTGGTGGGAGTCCCTTTCAAGATTCACAAGTGCTGAAACAGAGGGGATCTTAAACAAGACTCCCTGATATCATCCCCTAGCACCATGTACATTTACTCTGGTGTTTCAACCCTACCACAAAGGGTAGCACCTGACCCTGGTATCCACAGTCATGGGCTGAGGGATATTAGAGGGTACATAGAGGCAGCTACTCCTTCGAGTATCTATTTACAGACTTAGTACCTGTGAAGACGCCTAATCCTTTTTTAACCTACTGGCACTATCTGCTGCCACAAACTGCTGTGGCAACAAATTCCAGAAGCTCACGACCCGCTGTGTAAAGAACTATTCCCTTTAATCTTTTTTAAACAGATCCCTTACGAGTTCTGTACACTAGTTACAGCCATAGACGCTGTCAAAGCACTTGATAGGCAACATAGCCCAAAGTATCAAGCATATCCCAAGTACTTCAAATAGAAAATTAGGTTTCATTCACTCTTTTTTTTTTCCCCCTTCAGGAGAAGCAGTCTGATTTATTTATAGATGTTTTAGTTCTTCGCTCACCCAGGAGTTGATGTGCTGCATATTTATGTTTGTGCACGAAGAAATGACACAAGGAAAATTAGGCCAAAGAAATAAGTTCTGCATCGCGCTGTGAAAAGAAGCTTCTGTGATCTTCCTAGCAGAGGACAGCTTTCATGGAGGGATGTAGTTGCACAGGTCTTGATGGTTATCAAAGACAGTGACACATACCAGACAACCTATCAAACAGACGTCAGTGAAGATTATGGGCCTTTTAAAATTCCCAGTCTCAACTGAGCTCCATAAATTTTAGTAAAGTCCGTCCATGTAGAAGCTTAAACGAAGCAATTTGAGACAGGTCTGCATGGTAAAACAAAACAGCCCTAAACTGAACCCAGAGAACAAAGACATGATAAAGAGAATTTTTTTAAAAAACCTACATGAACAAAGAAAGGAAGAGATTTGTTTGTTTTAAGTCAAGGAAACAGAGAAGGCTTTTTATTCAAAGAGTTTTTCATGAGTACTGTAGAAAGTCTATAGTAAATGCTTATTTTTGCAAAACTCCTTGCTCTTAGCAGCATCACCTCAAAGTGCTGCAGTAATTGTATAGCAACAATCCACAGTGCTTTGGAGGCTGTAAATAATCTCCAGTAGTGAGTTAGTCATCTTTTTGTGTTCTAAGAACAGTAAGAGCTTTTTAAAGTATTTCTTGCATAGCATAAAAATAAAAATTAAAAAAAAGACCACAGGTTTCAATCCTTGTGCAGCAGCAGGCAGGTCATTAATACACATTAAGGACCACATGGTTCAGACCCAGAGGCCCACAGGGCTGCGAACAATTGACATTGACTCAAGCTTGAGACGTGTCCAAACCCCCCTGCCTGTTTTGCAGCTAGACACTTACCAGCTGGCTGCAAAGGTGGAAACATTAAGGATCTTTTACTGATTGAGAAACAGTGAAAGCTTCTATGTGCCCAGGACTATGGCAAGCCCCTCGAAAGCTGTCCCAGGGGACACCTTTCTGGTTGTGAATGCTCTCCCTGGTAGGAACAATGGGTGCAGCCTACGAGGAAATGGTAGACACCCACCAGGCCGGGCACGTTGGTTGTTCCCAGGCTCAGGAGCCAGCTGGTGAACAGGTGGCCATTACCTGTACTGGGAGTGGGGGACCCTGGCCAAAGCGGTAGCACAGACAGTCTCCATTAACTGCTTTTAGACTCATTTTCTGCTGAAAGGTAGTGACAGAAAAGTAGCAAAAAAAGTCAACCACAGGCATAGTTCTGTGATTCAACAAAGGTTTAAAGAAAAATAGATCAGGGACTTGCTTTAGTTAGAATAATACCTTGTAATATTCCTAGGATCTGGTGGCAGCATTTGGGAAAAAAACTCAAAGGGTTAGATTTTGTACTGAAATCAGTAATTTAAGAGTGCTGCGTTTGTGGGGAGTTTTTCCAAAGTAAGAGGACTGAAGGGCGAACGGCTGCAGGGTAACTTGGTCAACAGCCCGGAGACTTCTGCACGGCCTCTGACTCATGTGGCCAAGCAATGCTAGGACACTGCTACTCAAAACAAGTTTCACTTATTTAGCAATAGTCTCAGAAATGAGTCTTGGAAGAGAACCTTCAGTGATGGGTTTCCGTATTTTTTACTTTGGCAAGATCTAGTAGATGCCAAGTTTCAGGCTCTTGAAGGAAAAGGAAATGATTTTTGCTGAAATACTCTGATGTCGGGTCAGAGGAAACGTATCAGTTTCAAGTATCTGAGTACAAAGGGATTCCCACGGGGCAGAAAGAACTACGGGCAGTAGTAAGGATAAAAGAGTCCTTTGAGGGGCAAGAGAGTCCACTATTAGCTGCTCTGCATAAAATAAAGTTAATTTGGAGGTTTCTTCCTTGTAGCTTTTCAGATAACAGTGTATGCAAACTTCAGAAAAGGACTATGTTTGTTGACAGAAGCACATATTCATGTGTGCATTGTTTCAGGAGGCAGATGAGAACACCAACTGCTTTTCTGTTACCGTGGGCATAAAAACTCCTTAAGAAACACACTCTGCATTTTAACAATTCCCTGTTCAGTAGGGCCACTATCCCCAGGAGGCTCCAGGACTGCCACAATAAAAACACCTGTGTCCACCGAGACACTTCACATAGTTCTTGATAACCGGCAGCCATCACAAGAGCACATATTCATTCCCATCTCTCAGCTGTTCCCAAGGCATTACATTCAATAAAAGGGCATATTCATTTATTATTACAGAAATGAGACAGTATAAAACAATATTGGAAGTGATGTCAGAAGCCTTTACTTCTCTCTGCATTAGTTTCTCCATTTCTAAACCCAGAAAGTGTTACATATTTTATAAAGTGCCTTAACATTTTCTCATGGAATGCACTATATGAGGAAAATTGTAGAATTTTGACTTCCAAGAAACAAAAAATAATTAAAACTTGGATTGAAAATATAATTTGCTGAGATATTTCGTATAAGACAGTAATGCTTCCAAAATTGTGAACAGTTATGAAGTACTACTGCACGAAAGGAAAACACAATGTTTCTGTACATTACAGAGGTACCCTGTGTCCTACGATAGTTCAATATATGTCAGAGTTTTCATTATAGAGGTCCATAACTCACACATTTGAAATCGCTTTGGGAGAAATTCGGTTCAGAGGATGTCAGCCCGGGTGCAATTTTTTTTCTTACAAAAATCCTTAAATCGATTCAGCCATTTTTGATTTAAAGATTGGCAAAGGCATAAAATTGTCACAGTTTCAGACACTTTATTTACCAGCTCTGAAGTAAAAATGACACCAAAAGAATCACCTCGTACAACGGATGAATCCTATCTGGGTCACTGATTTAACCCACAAAATCAGATAAATTTGTGGTTAAAGTTACAACGTCTTTCCCAACTCGCAGCTTTACAAGTGAATACAGCGATGATACTTTAAAGGTTTTACTGCTTTTAAACTGTTCTACTGCTCACCATGATATTCATACAAAACCTCTCTAAAACCAGCAGAAAGGCTTTAAGCAAAAACTCTCTCTATTAGCCCATATACTCATGTCTCCATGAGTTGCAACACCTCTTCATAAGTGGCATCAGCTGTTCCACAGGTCTTCTGCTTTCTGCACACCACCATTAATCACCAGGAAAACACACCCCCAGAAACCTCCCCCCCATACCTTGGCAGAATTTGTCCAGCTTTTCTAATCAGCCTCTGGAAAGCTTGATGCTATGGACCAAGCACCTACCAAGGCACAGTCATGATGTTGTCATTTACGTGCTTCTCCTGACAAAACTCCAAGAAAAATGCAGCTGGAGAAAATTAGGCTGAAACCGGATTGTGGCACATAGAGGGTGCAAACACAAAACCACGTGAACAACAGTAGGGATTCAGTGCCATTCTTGGTTGCAAATTGCCAGAAAAAATGTCTATAATATATACTCCAACTGCATCTGGGAGTACAGGATGATTGGAAGGATTTACTGAAATTCTTTGGGGATGAACGTGCTACCTGTCAGTATCAATGTCACAAGACACTGCTGATCCTTCTGAAAATGTGCCAAGCAGAACCTTTATATTACGTTAGATTCTCTTCTCTTTAGATTGTACTGTATGTAATGGAAAAACAATGTTAGAAATATTTTTTAAATGGCACTGATACTTTTTTAATAGTTCTCTTTTTGGAAATCTAGTTTCTTCCAGCCCTCTGAGTCTAGATGGAAAGACAGAAAAGAAACAGCCTAGTGATTTTTAAGAAATCCCTTCAGAAGTACAGAATGTAGCTTCACTAGAAACACAGAAATGGGATTTTTAACGTTTGATATTTCAGTATCTATCAACTCTAAAATCTTAAAGACCTGATTCTCCTCTCATATTCATTGACATAACTGAGAATTAGTTCCACAGTGGCTCCTGTGAATATACATCCCAGTGCAAAAAGCAGAAGTTGTACAAGTTTGTACAAGAAGTTTGTACAAGGCCAGTTGTACAAAAGTTCACGTCAACTGCAATTTCCAGCTGTGTTTTTCATCCAAATTGTTCATGAAGCATCGGACTTCAAAAACGGCACTTAGCCAAAACGGAATACTTGGAACATTTTCCAGACCTGCCCTTATCAAGGAAGCTTTGTGCCCAAGAAAGGAACAAAGAAGAAGAACACGTTGGTGGCAGGCTGCTTGTGTGCGTGAATATAAAATAGCTGATCTTTGTCTGTAAGGACTCAGACGTTCAGAGTAAAGGGTATATTCCCAGTAGAGATGGAAGGGAAGACACAATATGTAAGAGATGTCCAACACAAAGCTGTCACCCAGCTGTACAGGCAGAGGGGACACCGATGACGTGCACGACAGAACCCTGTATTTGTTGGTCGTGCTTTGTCACGAACCCACCGATAGCAGAAACACAGCACAGAGGGAACGGACCTGTGTGGGGACACTGACCTACTTCTCCTTCTAGGAGACATCATGCTGTACAGGGTCTTAGTAAACCCCAACATATTAGCTGTTTTCAGCTACTCTGCACCTTGTTGCATGCTTTCAGGAAGGCTAACAGTCAAAAAAATTGTGAATGGATGGAGGTATAGTCCCTGTACCTGCTCAGACAGAACCTTTATTCTCTAATTCAACTGATTAATTGCAAAGTTCACTAGAACATACAGATTAGTGTTTTATAGTTAAATGTGATCCTATCACTCTGTAGTACCACCTGTTTTAAAATCGTAATATGCAAAACCACACCTTAAATGGCTTTTAATTTAATGCTAAGGCATGAAACACAGTGCTATTAAAAGCTTTACACAGGCCAGTGAATAAAAGATCCAGAAGGAAAAAAAATCTTCCCTACATTTCTGTTTAGAAAATACTTTTGTAGGTTGGGTTTAACCACTGCCCTTCAATCTAACGTAGTCCTAAGGCACAATTATGGTTGTCTATGCTAAAATACAGATGTTGCAGCAGTAGTGCCCATCCCAGCACAGACATATCACTGCTTAGAACAAACTATATGAAAGGCTTAAGTGAACACTGGGGTGTCACTGGCTGCTATTTGTGAAAGCTTGAGTGTCTTTCAAACGTAGGCAGAAAAATCCGTGAAGTGCAGAGGGCAGGTCCCTGG